CCCCAAAACCCCAAAACCCCAAAACCCCAAAACCCCAAACTATCATTGATTAATTGAAAATTAGTATGGAGATAAAAAGCCATAAAGGAGGGTAAGCATATTAATAATCTTCAATAGAATGGAAGATGGGCCAAACCCAGGATTATCCTTAATAAACTCACTTGCAACCGCTGCTAGCCTGAAAAATGTCAGAATGCTTATTAGTGGTGACACAGATAGACCGAAGACAGATAAAGGAAGAACAGACTGCTGGGTTAACTTCGGAGATAAATCTACTCTTACCAGAAGACCTGATAAAGTAAGCCAATTTGTACTTAGCTCACACTCTAGGTTGATAGAAGGCTCAGCAATTACGCTAAACCCTTCAGTACATTGAGAAGTAAGGGCCTCAGTCCGACAAAGCAAAGAGTGTTAGGGATCAAAGATGGAAATTTCCATGAGCTTTTCCAAGAAGTCGTCAGATTCCAAGTGCCTAGTGTCGAAGATGAAAAGCGCAAGAAATATTTTGTAGATGAGGATTCAAAGGAAGAGGATACTAAATCTGATAGAGATGGTAAATAAAGTTCTCAAGTTTAGAATACCTCAATAAAATGCTCAATAACTTGAAAGAAACTAACGCTGGAGCAAACCTGGACAAAGAGAGTGACAATAAATCCGAATCTAGCATGAAGAGGCTTGATACTCCTGCTGAAAGCGGCATATCTTCTGTTTCTGGAGACCAAGAAAAGCCAAGTAAGAACTGTGTATTTATCACATAGTGGAAAAGTTAGATATATTCTCCATGTCGTCTAAGAAAAAAATTAAGCTGAAGAAAGGACTGACTTTGAAGAAAAGAGATAGTATGAAATCAAATAATGAGCAGAGATTAAACATGACTATTGATGATAGAGACCGTAAGAATGAGCTTTTGCAGGAAGCAATGAAACTCAGAGCAGCTTACTCTCCTGAAGGTAATTTCACCTCAGCTAATACATAACCCCTGTAGTTAAAAGAAGCAGCAGGAGGAGCAGTAGAAGAAGCAGAAGGAATAGCCAAGGCAAGCATAGCAAATCTTTGATGAAAATCGTCACTCAGGATGATAGATCTAATGACTATTACCTTCCAACTATCAAGAAAGTAAGGTTGTATTCTAAAATATAGGATTCTGAAAAGTAGAGCTATCAGCTCATATATAGGAAAGTTTTCGAGAATCCTCGTGAAGCATACTCGACCAAAAGCTCTATCAAAATATCGTCAAAGTAAGTGCCTCATAACTGACACATTTAGGAAGAAGATAGCCGCCAGTTTATCAAGTGATAGGTAAGGATCTTTTCTAATAACGATAATCCCTGATCCCTTATAAAATTTTATATTTAATCTCTTACTAGTAATATTTTAGGGTGAGCAAAACAGACCAGGAAGTAAGGGAGAACTCTATTGACTACTTCATCAACAATTCGAAGCATAAGCTCAAGAACAAATTTATGAGCAGCCTTGCTAAGAATGGAATCAGCCCACTCAAAGGTAGGGTTATTAAGATGGTTTACGAGATTTTAGGGAAAAACAGCACCACTAAAGTCCTTCTAGGAGCTAGCTCAAAGCTGAATGGGTCTTCTAGGAAATTTATGCTTGGCAGAAATGACGAAGGTAGAGCCTTTGCTAATTTCTAGACGGATTTGTGTTGCCGAAGATTTAACTTGGAATACTTGTGGTCGTATAATGAGATATCCATCTTCAATCTCAATTTCTATTGTTGGGGTTTTGGGGTTTTGGGGTTTTGGGGTTTTGGGG